GGACATGTCCACCTGAGAACTTCTGCTTACGTCTCCTTCTTCAAATTCAGATATATCGTACTGAGTATATCCATCTCGTTCATTTTCGACTATCATATTGTGCAGTATGATACATGCTCTCATAATCTTCCCTATCTTTTCCTTGTCCAGTGAAAGAGCGGGGTTTTTCATAATCGAAAAGCGTGTCGGTACTATAGGACATGTCCACCTCAGAACTTCTGCTTACGTCTCCTTCTTCAAATTCAGATATATCGTACTGAGTATATCCATCTCGTTCATTTTCGACTATCATATTGTGCAGTACGATACATGCTCTCATAATCTTCCATATCTTTTCCTTGTCCAGTGAAAGAGCGGGGTTTTTCATAATCGAAAAGTGAGCTTGCAATACTCCAAAAGCCCACTCCACATCTTTTCTGGTTGCTTCTTGAACTTTAGCAAATAATTCTGCTTTAGGACCTTGAGGGAGTGAGATAGATTTGATAAATGTTGACCATTTTGGATATATACCATCTGTGAGGTAGTACGTCAAATCATACTGGTGTCCGTTGACCACGTATTGTACCCTTGGAGCTCGACCTTGTAAAATGTCATCAATAACAGGTGACCGATCAAGGACATTAATATCGTTTAAGGTACCTGAAGGACCAAAAGAAGCGTGCCATATCCAAAGATCTTGTGAAGATACAGCCTCTAAGATAATTGTCGGCTTTCCTGATCCACGGGTGTACTGTCCTTTCCACGCGGTTGGGCAATTTTTCCACTCCCAATGCATATAGTCGATGCTTCCTATCATCCCAGGAAATCTGCGTATCTCTTCAATATCGAGTAGTCGTTGAAGATCCTCTCATGTGGGTCTTCGTAGATACTCATCTCCAAATAACTGTATTATTCCTCGAGTGAAATTATGTAAAAACAAAAGTGTTGTGCTCTCACTAAGTCGGAGATACTCGTCAACCGTGTCAACCGCAGAACCATAAGCAAGTAGACGAATTACTGCCGTACATTTTTTAGTGGAGAAAGACCAAACCTCCCGGTTGCATCTCTTCTTTGTTGAAAGAATGGAATGTTCTCTGAGAGGGCGTGGACAATACGCATGAATAATTCTTTGTTCATACGGAAACGCGTCTGAATAAATGGGCCAGAAATGTGGAATCTTCGCTGAAGTAGTCATTCCATAAACGGTTGTGTCCGGCTTCGCGGTCGCGTTCTATATAAGCATGTTTCCCTTGCTTATTGTGGTGGGACTCCACTATGTTGTCATATGTTTATTCTAAGATATCGTAGAAAATGTTGTCCAACCTTTGTTCGAGTTCATCTGATGAAGATGATGACATTTTGTGTGTTCACTTGCTAATTCTTCATTGAAAAAATTATTACAAAATTTTAGATAACCAATAATATCATTTAATGACCAATAACCAATTTCTATAATTTTTAGATATTTTACAATTTTTAGATAACCAATTTTTAGATAACCAATTTTTATAATTTTTAGGTAACCAAATTCTAGATAACCAAATTTTTATGATCTAATATATACAAGGGAGTTTATATAACGAATTTTAGATAACCAATTTTTATAATTTTTAGGTAACCAAATTCTAGATAACCAAATTTTTATGATCTAATATATACAAGGGAGTTTATATAACCAATTTTTAATCATGTAAGTTTAAATATATTCATGTTATAATAATTTAAATGGTTATACTACAAAACATGTAAGTTTAATCCTATTACAAAACAACCTAAACAAGCGATATGTGTTTCTACGGTTTTGCAAATTCATATGTGTTTAAATTGTTATACTTCACTTGACAAGCAGAAGACATATGTGTTTCTACGGTTTTCAACTTGACAAACAGAAGACAAATGTGTTTTTAATACTATAACTTGAGAATAACCTAAACAAAGCTTCTACGGTTTCAACAAAGCAAAGAAAATGGAGATTTACCTATGATATTTTTAGATAAAGAGATTTGGAACTGGTTAAATGCAAGATCCAGTAGTACAAAGTGCAGGAGTTTTGTCAATAATCCGAGACATACAAGAAAATGAAAAAGATTACAAGTTGAAAGGGAGAGGAAACAAAGCAAAGGAGATACCTAAACAAAGGCTTCACACCAACTTATAGAAATACATAAAAGCTAAAACAGAGAGACCCGTGACTTGTTCACATGCTGGGAAGACCCGTGACATCTCCTCATGCACCTGTGACTTCTCCACATGCAAACAACAACCCGTGACTTCTCCATATGCACCCGTGAAAACAGTTTGACAGCTCCAAATGCACTCGTGAGCTTGTAACAACAAATAACACAAGAGTTAGCAAAGTATAATAGCAAAGTGTACTCTAAACAATATTAATACCTTCTACTCAACATATTACTATAACATCTCCGACATAAGTTTTAGTTTAAGACTCTCTTCCGTGCTAGAGAGTGGGTCTTTTTTGGCAAGCAAACGTTCCAAGAGTTTTTGGCTTAAGATTTTCTGTTTGATTTCAAACAGGCCATGTAACTTTGACAAGTCCTCTGCCTTGACTCCAACCGGTCTAGCCTCCGGTTCTCTCACTTCCTCTTCTCCATCGACCTCCAACACATTTTTGCGCTTGTCCTTCACAGTGTGCTTAGGCAGAAAGGTGTAGCACCATTTACTGTCGTGTCTCAACTCCCTCCAGGCATGTTCGAGGTTGAACTTGATGGAGTTGTCAGTGAAGAAGAAATCAAGGGCAGCTTGCATCACATCAATATCGTTTTGACCACTTTTCTGGTCCCTCAGAGCTGCATCATAGCATCCAGCAAACTTGCAGACTTGCTCGTTGATCCGAGCCCACCTCTGCTTACACTGACCATGTTCTCTAGGGGTTGTCCCAACAAGGAGAGGACTTGCGTTGTAGTAATCTACAATCCTCTTCCAGAAAGCTCCACCTTTCTGCTCATTGATGACCACATAATCCTTACTGGTGTTAAGCCAAACAACAATAAGGATTATATCCTCTATGGGAGACCACTTCCTCCTCTCCTTGACAGTAGACGCAAGGTCAATTGGAGATTGGTTACTCAACCATACATGGTCGGGTGAATCAAGGTCGATTGGCTCTTACTGTTGCACATGCTCTTAAAACCCAGAATATAAGATAATATGTCATCATCCTCGTTTGAACAAGCTAAATAGATAAAATGAGAAAAATGTTACCACTCTAATTTTTATGTATTCTTTTATATTATAAATATATAATTTTCTATATTAAAATACTTATAAAATTGATACCGTAGACATTCGAATCTTGTTTGGATTGACGAATGGGCATGCGTGTAACCACTAAACCAATTTAATTAGCATATTAACTAATACAACTTATATATATACTAGGTAATCTGCGTAATGAAATTATTATTTTTGTTACTTTTAAGATAAAATTATATTATGTTTGTTTAGCATGGATATTGGTTCAGTTTTACGTTATTTTTTTAATGTCCTAAAATATAACTATGATTCTAAATCTATATTTATTTTGTTTTTTTGGTTTAAATGTTTGATTTTTTTTTTATTTTTTTCGATGATAACCAAAAACTATTGTTATTTGTTTGGTTTCGTTTTATATAAATTTTAGACATTTTATATGTCGAACTAATAATTTCCTATTATAATTTCTAAAGACATGTAAAATAAAATAAAATCTAAATAATATTTGAAGAAAAAAAGAAAATAAAATTATTAACACAAAACATTTCACTACAATTTGAGCGATAGTGAAAGAAAACATTAAAAAAAAAATTCAACTTCAATAAGAACTAAAATTCTCACTTGTGGTGAATATTTAGTTATATAGTCGCTCATGTCAATGTGTACATGTATGTCTATGTAAAAGTATATAAATATGATGATAAATATATGAATATACCGTTAATCAAGATTTAAAACATTTTTGTTCAAAATAACACATGATAGTAAATTTTTAAATAAACTTAAGTAAAAATAAACAAATCTAGAAATTAATAATATTTTTTCATATGAAGAAAATCAAATTGTACCCGTAAACAATAAAAATAATATATATTACAAAGTGACATCTTCACTTAGTACCTGAAATTCTGTTTTTAATCGATTTGTGATTTTTATTTCCTTTTAAAGCTTTTTTTGATTTCTGATTTTTTTCTACCAATTTGATTTTGTTTCTAATTCTTGGTCTGACGTGAAAACTTTATAAAAATGTTAATATTTGACTAAACTAAAGACCCGACTTTACGTGTAGTGTTTTTCACTTCAGTTTCTTTAATTCATAATCAATCACCGTATTTGTTGTTATTGTGTACCGAATCCTCAACCATGACCAACTTCGGCAAGGTACGAAACTTTCAATTTCTACAAACATTTTCATCGCAACATTTCAGTTGATGCGAATCTTAATGATTTTGTAATTTTTTACAATAAATATATTATTCATTAGTTTCACGTAGAAAGTTTTAATTTATTAATACAAAAACTAAAAATATAGAAAAATGAATTAATTGAAAATAGTATATAAACATATTAAATATTGTATTTAAAAAATTAGTGTGTGAACGCATTAATTATCAAAGGACTGTGAGACCGATACGTGTCAATTACGGTGTGAACGCATTTATTACAATGCTTCTCTTTTAATATATAAAGGATATATATATATTTAATTCGATATTAAACACGGGTAATCTCTGGAAAAAAACCTTAATCGAAACCAAACAAAAATATCATAAATACTTATTGGTATAAGAATCATTTATCTGATAGATTTGGAACTGAACATCTTACCTTAACTCGAACTCAGACCCGAACTGAATACTGAATACCCATGGTTAGTTCCGTTTTCTATTTCTTAAAATAAAAACAGAATTTAGGACTACTACATATATTTAAAAAGAAAAAATATAAAAAGATATACAGAAGTTTTAAATTTTATCTGATGTTGACAGATAAAAAAAATATCTAATGAAAACGGGAAAGTATAACATTCAGAGTAAATTACATCTCTTGTTGACCATGACTTTAAGACCTTGTTTCATGTGAAGAATAACAGATGGGACTGGCTCAACCTTGTGTCCTTCAACGACTTTTATCTCGTAGTTTTGTATGATCTTCACGGCCACAATCTTCATCTGCGTCATAGCCACTTCTTTCCCCAAACAAGTCCGTGGACCTGCGTTGAACGTTAAAAACTTAGAAGATGGCACATGTATCAGCATCCCACTTTCCGAAATCCATCTCTCCGGTTTGAATTCGGATGCATCTTCTCCCCAAACTGACTTTATTCTCCCTAGTGAGTAAAGACAGAACACAACCTTGGATCTTGCATCGACTTTGTGTCCGCTCGGAAGAACATCCGGTTTTGTAGGAGATTTGTGCTGAAATGGAACCGGTGGATATAGCCTGAGGGCTTCACACAGCGCGCCATGTAAATACACCAATTTGTTTAGCTCCTGGGGAATGAATGAATCAAAATCAGAATCATTCTTGGTTCTTGGAGATAATTTTGCGTTGATTTCCTGACGAATCTTTGTCATTGCATGTGGGTACTTGGAGAGAAGCCAGAAAAACCAAGTGAGAGCAGATCCTGTGCTGTCTCTACCTGCTAACATGAAGCTTAAGATCATGTCTCTAAGGAATTTGTCATCACTCGCATTTAACAACTTGTATTTGGTGCTGTCCACATGCATGTAAGACATCAGCAAATCCTTAGAAGAAGAAGAGTCGATGCTAATAACGCCCCTGGTTATTTCATCTCTCTTGGAAGTTATGCACTTGGAGCAAACTCGATCAAAAGTCGAGTGAGCTACTTTCATCTTCAACTCATCTCCAACCCCAATAAACCTTTGCATCTTCCAAACCATCTCCGGCTTGATATGCCTGAAGAAAATTGCTTCTTCTGCTTCGTCCAAAGCTCTAGCAAATTCGATTTCCGGCATTTCAATCGAGAGACAGCCTGGATCAACCCCGGTCGCTAAAACAAAGGTGGTGTCGAAGGTGAACCTTTGGAACAAATCTTGTAAATCGACGACTAGTTTCTTCTCAGCCACGTGATCAAGAATTGGGACAAGCCCTTTTTCTAGCTTACTCATGACTGTTCGTAGTGTAAACCTTTGGAACTCCTGATGACTCATCATGCTTTCAGCTGATTTTCTGAGATCCTTCCATAACTCAGAATCTGCGTTGAAAATGCCATCTCCCAAAACATCGAATATCTTCTTGAACTCTGATCCTTTCGGGTAATTCGCGAAGTTTGAGCTCATGATGTGATGAATATTAGCGGGATCAACGGTGATCAACATGTCGAGACCCCCAAAACATGGGCCTTTGAAACGAAAAGTCAAGTTTGAGGTCTCGAGAACCTCGGTTATATAGTCGTAAACATGATGGATCTCTACGAGTAGACCCGGAAGCATACCAAGGAAGGGCCAGTTCGTGGGAAACGAACGGTGACGTTTCTTGCTAATCAAGAAATATCCATAGAGGAAGGAGAAACAAATGAAAGAAATTGATACTTCAAGTAAGCTTACCAAAGCCATTGGAGAGATACTGAGAAAGTACTGTCGCTTCGGTTTTGAGATACAACAATGGGGGCAGCTTAGTTCCTGACTTTGTTACCGATACAAACCAAAATACAAAACCATACTTTAAAGGATATGTCATTCAGGCGCCGTTGAATGTGGTGATGTACATGTCATTTTCATAATTAAGTGACATTAAACCGTACTTTATGTTTAAGCTATAACTTGTCTTGTCTTCTAACTTTTGTCTCGATATCTAGCTTATTGCACAAATTTCGGAAACCACTGCATGTGACATTATCTTTTTAATTAGTTAATTGTACCACTAGATGGTCGTCAAAAAAAAATGTACCACTAGATTTATAAAACAAGGTCTCCCTGACCAATAAACGTATGAAAGAAGAAAAACAAGAAACTTCAAATACCCACAGATGGAAGTAAGATATGACAACACTAATGTTCGAAAAGTAAGCAATCCAAATCTACATCGGATATTACATAGGAAAAAGTTCAATATGATGTAGCATCATAATACCTTCACCAACAAGCAACACCAGTTCGTCAATAGTTGTTTAGAAGTTTTCCTTTTTTTTTATAAGATTTCCTTTTATTAGTTTTTCCTATTTTTCGATGGATTTGGAGATATAAACCCTCTCTTACAGCTTATATAAGCCTATGTAATATTGCTTTTGATAATCAGTTTTTGAAAGATAATAAACTAGAGTTTTCTCTAAAGCCTTGCATTGATTTGATTATGTCGTCAATACGAGAGCATTGTATCGAATTTCATTAAATTCAGGACTCTAAAGATTTAACCTAGATCTTTAGATTTGAGCTGAGTTACCGTTGATACACTGCGCCAGGTTGGTATCAGAGCTTTGCTACGCTCCACAAATTTTTTTTTTCGTGAGCACCATGGCTAGACCTCGTCGAGCACCTGTTCAAACCGAAGCAGAAATCACTCGAGAAGCCATTGCTGAGCTTCAAACCCAGATGGCTACAATCACCGCCACCCTCCAAACCCTTAATGTTCAACGTCCACCGCCACCAGCCCGAGATAACGTTGACGGCAACAGAGAGGATGTAAAAGACGACGAAGATCCGTTTGCAGCAGCTGAAGTAAACCCCTTCGCCCCTCTCCGTAATAACCGTGCACTCGCACATGACGATGGCCAAGGACTTTATGATATTGCACAATGGGAGAAAAGCTTCAAAACAGAGATTCCTGAGTTTCATGGCAACTCGACAGCTGAAGAACTACTCGACTGGATTGTCACAGTCGAAGAAATTCTTGAGTCTGAAAGAGTACCATTAGATCGATGTGTTCCTGTCCTTACAATGCGTTTTCGCGGCAGAGCAGCAGCATGGTGGACACAACTAAAAATGACTCGAGCTCGTCTTGGTAAAAATAAAATCCACTCTTGGGATAAACTCAAATCGAAGCTGAAGAAAACATTCTTTCCCTACAACTATGAGCAGCTTATGTTTCAACGCCTTCACACGATACGGCAAGGAACGCGCTCTGTTTCTGAATATTCTACAGAATTTTTCTTGCTCCTTAATCGAGTGGATATACAAGACTCCGAGCGACAACTTGTAGCCCGGTTTACCGCAGGCCTCCATCAACAAATTCAGCACACTATCAACCTCTTTAACCCGCTAACTCTGTCCGAAGCTCATCAGCAAGCCCTTACAATTGAAGCTCAAACAAAGTCCTCCTTTTCATCATGGACTTCTGCTCGACCCGCCAGAACACAACAACCTCAATCGTCCCCAGTTCCAGATGATACGGCTCACACAAAACCAGACACTACCGTCGCCCCCGTGACGGATACTCGTAACAATCGCCCTAGTTCTCTGCGATGTTTCTCTTGTGGGGAAATTGGTCATCGACAAGCAAATTGTCCAACACGTAACAAACGTGGTCTTCTTCTGGAAACGATGTCGAAGTGATTTATGATGAAGAAACCACATATACAACAGAGGAAACTGAGGTCCTTACCGCAGATAGTGGTCCTGCATTAATGGTTCGCCGTGTGTGCCTCGCTACTCGTGGAACCGATGTCAATCCGCAAAGTCATAATCTCTTTCATTCTAAGTGTACCATTGGTGGCAAGGTCTGTAAATTTATCATTGATTCAGGCAGTAGCGAGAACGTTATTGCAGAAGAAGTGGTAAATAAACTTAACTTGGTCACAGAACTTCACCCGTGCCCTTACAAACTTGCGTGGCTAGACCAGAACATAGACCTACTCATTACTCGGCGTGCATTGGTTTCCTTCTCGGTGGGAGATTCGTATAAAGATCAGATTCGTTGCGACGTTGCCCCTATGGATGCTTGCCATCTTCTTTTAGGTCGACCATGGATCTTTGACCGACGCATTCAGCATGATGGGTTTCGCAACATGTACACTTTCCGCTTCAACAACCGCAACTACACTCTTCAGCCCTCCAAACCTGACAAATCTCCAACGCGTTCGACACCAACACTCATTCTCCAACGCAAACCTTTTGAAGCAACTATGCGGGAAGAAGGCTTTGTCTTTCTCCTTGTTAACACCAAACCCTCTCTCCCTGCACCGAAGATTCTTACTGCTTTTGCACCGCTCTTACATGAATTTGGTGATGTCTTACCCGATGATTTACCCAACGGACTTCCTCCTCTTCGTGATATTTAGCATCACATCGACTTAGTCCCAGATGCACTCCTTCCCAATCGAGCTCATTATCGAATGAGTCCAAGTGAACATGAGGAATTACACAGACAAGTGGAAGAGCTCGTTCTTAAGGGCTTTATACGTGAGAGTCTAAGACCTTGCGCAGTGCCAGCCTTACTTATACCAAAGAAGGATGGTTCTTGGCGTATGTGCGTTGATAGCCGTGCCATTAACAAAATTACAGTCCGCTACCGATTCCCCATTCCACGTCTGGATGATCTCCTTGACCAGATCGGTTCGACTTCTGTGTTCACAAAACTCGATTTAAAGAGTGGGTACCATCAGATTCGAATAAGACCAGGTGATGAATGGAAAACAGCTTTCAAGACTAGAGAAGGACTTTTTGAGTGGCTTGTCATGCCATTTAGATTATCTAATGCTCCGAGTACGTTTATGCGTGTCATGTAAGAAGACCACTGATGCCCTCCATGTGGCTCTTTTATTCTTTCGGGAAGTTTATCGCCTCCATGTCTTGCCTATTTCTATTGTTTCGGATCGTGATTCTCGCTTCCTAGGGCATTTTTGGAGATCGCTTTGGAAAATGTTAGGTACAAGTTTGGATATGAGTTCTGCTTACCATCCACAAACTGATGGCCAGACTGAAGTTACTAACCGTTCCTTGGTAAATTTGCTGCGGTGTCTTGTCGGTGATTCTATCAAATCATGGGATTCCAAAATTCCACAAGCTGAGTTTGCACATAATAATGCATTAAATAGAAGTTCTGGAATTAGTCCATTCCAAGTTGTGTACGGGATGAAGCCTCGTGGTCCTCTGGATCTTACTACTTTACCCGACCAAACTCGACGCCATGGCATTGCTGCAGACTTTGTCGATGATATTCACAGAGTCCATGAAACTGTCCTCGCTAATTTACTGGCGTCCGCGACGAAATACAAGTGTGCAGCAGATGCTCATCGCCGGCGTGTTGTTTTTGAAGTGGGAGATCAGGTGTTGGCATTTCTCACAAAGGATAGGATGCCAACTCATGCTTATAACAAACTTAAGGCCAAGAAGATTGGTCCTTTGGATGTTCTTGAACGTATTAACGATAACGCTTACAGGCTCCAACTTCCGACTCACATCAATACTTCGGATGTGTTCAATGTGCGCTATCTTACTCGTTATGTTCCACCAGATTCCGTAACCGATTCGAGGACGAATCTTTCTAACCCCGGGGGACCTGATGTAGCATCATAATACCTTCACCAACAAGCAACAACAGTTCGTCAATGGTTGTTTAGAAGTTTTCCTTTTTTTGATAAGATTTCCTTTTATTAGTTTTTCCTATTTTTCGATGGATTTGGAGATATAAACCGTCTCTTATAGCTTATATAAGCCTATGTAATATTGCTTTTGATAATCACTTTTTGAAAGATAATAAACTAGAGTTTTCTCTAAAGCCTTGCATTGATTTGATTCTCTCGTCAATACGCGAGCCTTGTATCAAATTTGATTAAATTCTTCGATCCAAGAAGTCAGGTCTCTAAAGATTTAACCTAGATCTTTAGATTTGAGCTGAGTTACCGTTGATACGCTGCGCCACAATATATATATATATATATATATATTTGATCCAACTCCACCTAGTATATGACTTTTTGGAGAATAATTGATCCAAGAACAAATTAGTGAAAGTTTTTAGTTCAAAAGTGGACAATGTCATATTAATTAAATGGTTACACATCCGGTGACGGATATCAAGTTCTAGTTGAGCGACTAGCCCCAGAGAAAATTTGATATATATATTAACTTTTATTATAGTAAAATCTTGTTATTTAAAATAAATTTAAAAATTATTAAACACTTTAAAATAAATACTATTAAATTAAACTAAAAATATAATGAAAGAGTAGTCATAGGCATTCGGGTCTATGGATCAGTTAGTTTTCGGGTGTAGGTCTTTTGAGTCCTAAACATTAAGACCCAGTTAGATATTTGAAAATTTTAGGTTTGGATTCGGGTCGGTTCCTTTGGATCAAGGTTGGTTCAAATCAATAATGTAAATACCCATAAAATACTTGTAAATTTCCATGTATGTAGCGATTCAGATATTTAGGCTCCGAAAAGACCTAAAGTACCCAAATATGTTAAAAACTATCTGAAACTCAAAAATATCTAAATACCCAAATAGTATCCAAAATATCCAAATTTTTACCTTAAATCTTACCAAAGAACAAAAACATACCAAAATTTTTATTTGAATACGCGAAATATATATTTAAGAAATCTGAAATTTTGTTTGAAACCTGATATGTAGCGATTCAGATATTTAGGCTCCGAAAAGACCTAAAGTACCTGAA